GGGGAACGTTGCATTTAAATACAACGTAAATACGTTATATTTGAATTTTAGGTTATGAGAGGGTGGCCCTTGAATGTATAAGAGGACCTCGGCCTAATCTCTTTAAGTGGAAATGTATAGTGATTTTAGTCGAAAAAAACTGGAAAAAAAAAAGCCAAAAAAAAAACAACGTTATACTCTGTCCCTCACCTCTGTCCATTTTGGTAGCAAATTTCAACAATACTTACAAGTAAAAGATATATATATTGCATTGTTTTTCAGCATGTTTTTTTTTTTAATTTTTGGAATATTTTTAAAAATAGTTAAAATATTTAAAAATATCACATAATAAAAATGCAACGTACGTATGTTGTATCCGAATATAATATACGTACATTGTATCTAACCGTACGTTCTATTGGACAAAAAAAAAATTTTATGATACTTTTTCTAGAAAGACCACGACCTAATCTACTGATTCTCAAATTTTCAAATTTTTCTACGAGCAAAGAAAATCGTCAAAGTTGTCTCATGCAAATTGCAAAATTGTCCCTCCGAGTGCCACTAGCAGTGCGGATTACGAGTGGGAACGGTCCCTTGAAATGCTTACCTACCGGTAGTGCCTCCTTAAGGTTGAACGTCGTCCACAAGCACTGGAAGGACCAACCATACCGAAATTTCAACCCCTACATGCCCTTTTTTGAAGTGCTCGTCCACCACCAAAATTTGGCACTTGACACAAACGTTGGACCGCACCATACCACTACCTTTAGCGTTAGGAACTATACCACTCTCCTTAGGGCTGTGAAATCAAGTTGCAACCCACATTTTTCTGAAATATTTTATGGTTACTGGTGTCATTCCAATCTTGTCCACTTCAGTCGAATCGAATAGAGAGAAACTGATACTACCAGTAGGCATGATCAAACTCTCGTTGTTTTTTTCTTTGGGAGGGGGGGAAGGTAAGGGTAATGCATAAGCGATCGTTACAAGGCATGACGAATCTCTATTTGTTTTTAAAAGATAATAATGAGATACCCCTATAAGTTGATATATATGGCAAAATGCCCCTAAAATATGTGGGTAGACCGGAATACCCATCTGAGACAAAAAATGTTTTGGGAAATGCCCCTGGCGTCTGTTGGACATGTCATCTTTGTAAAATACCCCTACCGGTTACTATCTATCTTTGCAAAACGTCCCGGTACTTGCCAACTGCGTGTTTTTGTTTTACCTCTAGTGACCCAGGTCATCTTTGTGTTTTCCCTCCTCGCTGTGTGAGAGAGAGAGAGAGCAAGATAGCGATATACAATATATATATTGTATAGAATATATATAATATATATATATACACATAGAGATAGAAAGAAAGAGAGAGAGAGAGAAGGAAAGCGCGATAGCAGGAGCGGGATAGCGGGATCGAGGGAGTAGCACACGTAAGAAAGAGAGAGAGAGAGAGAGAGAGAGAGAGAGAGAGAGAGAGAGAGAGAGAGAGAAAGAATTGCGATAG